CCGAATTTTAGCTCGCAACTCAAAGCAAAAAATCAGCCGAGAGACGGCTCGTATCTCGAAAAACTCGTTAGTTGGGACACTCGTAAGTCAAGGCCCCACTGTAAATAGCATCACCTTGGAACATATTATTCTGTAAAGTTATAAACCTTTCTAGCTATAAATGGCTAGATAAGCCTTATCCTAATATAAAGACACAATAGAGAAATTTAAAGTGAATAGTTATTAGTTATAATATTGGTTAAGGTAAACATTTTTATTAAAAGAAAAATGTTTTCCTAGAAGATGATAATAATACTAGAGGCCCGGTGCACAAAATTCATGCACTCAGGGGGTGTTCCCCAGCCTTGCCTCAATCGATTGCCCCAAAGAGGTAGGCCAGAGCCGGGGGTCCTGCCCCTGGTGTTGCCACGTGAGCTGCAGAACCCCTGGCATCACCGCGGGACCCACCTCAGTGCCGCACACGCAACGTCATGTCCCCGCCCACCCGCACATGCCTGCTGCACATGCAGCCTCCTGGTGATGGATTGTTACAGTATGACGGCATGCGGGCATCACGGCATGAGGGTGTGATGATGACATAGGCTTTTATTAGTATAGAAAAGCATAAAATGCTAATTAGACTGGACATCCTTCCGGACGTCCTTCCAGATGACCTTCTGGACAAAGCCAGGACTGTGAAGGAAGCCCAGGTCCCGGGTGCCAGAGGGAAGCTGGTGCTGGCAGCTGGGGGAAGAAAGGCCTAGTCTTGCATGAATTTTGTGCATCGGGCCTCTAGTGTTAAATATAATTAATGAAAAATTTTCTAATTTAGACTTTCCCATAAGTATATTCTAGTCAGTTTTTTTGTACCTACATGTGGCTTACAGTCTCCCTTTGAAATATATAGTCCAAGGGACTCTGCTTATTTTTGTTTAGGCTGCCTCTCTCTAAAAAAATATGTTAATTAAGTACCACATCTTTTTATCACCATGATTTCACAGTGTTACTCATGTGGTTTGTTCCTGCACCATTCTATAAGGAACTATGATAAAATTTTATTGAAAAAACATTAAATTACTTCAACTTTCTAATAAAATTACTTTCTTATTGTTGGGAAAAAGCTTGATACTGAGGCAAACTCCAATTTCTGGGCAGTATCCTTCTCCTTCTCTCACTAGGCTTTGTATGAGTTATACTAATGGCTGTTAATAGTTGTTAGTTTTTGTGAGTAATAACCTTATATTTGAAAATAACCTGTAGAACCTTAGGTAAAAGATGCCATGTTTATAATTATCATAGCAATTAGAGTAGTACTCCAAAAATATTCACTTGATATTAATTAGAATCTTAATGGTTCTAATAAGGAACTACCATAAAATATGGGAAAAATTTTGTTCTATGGTTTCATGGCTCAGGGGTGTCACTACAATTTTCATACCACCTTTGTAACATTCATGAGACATTGGGTAGACATTCTAGTAGTATTCTCATCTTTACTTAGTTGTTTGAAAATTCAATATTATTATTTTTCTAATTATAAAAGTAGTAAATGCTAATCATAAAACAGCAAATAATATAGAAATACACAAATATATACAAAATCTATAATAATAAAAGCATAATATGCTAATTAGACCAGACAGCCAAATGACTTTCCAGACGACGAAGCTGAAGCAAACTGCCAGCCGCTGTTGCAAGGGCCAAGGCAAGGCACCACGACTGTGAGGGCTGAGCCCCTTGCACGAATTCCGTGCTCGAGACTCTAGTATATGATGAAGAAATACACAAAGCAGAAAGTAAAATTGCCCTGCAATTGAATCCTAGGAAATAATCACTATTTACAGATTGCTTTTAACTTGCAGACCTTTTTCTGTACCTACAGAAATAGACACCCTATATGTATTTCTGTACATGTTTGTAATTACTGAGACTATTATGTCCCATTTTTAAAATAAGGGTAATATAAACAATTAGAAATATTGTTAAGAAAAAACTAAAAAGGGTAAGAGCATATCAATATTCCTCTTCTTTATTATATTCATTTTCTGAAGTATAGAAATATGTTGGCATGGAATTACTTCCTAATAATTGAAGCTGATAGTTTTTAATTCTGTGTTCCTTACAGATGTCTGGCCTAACCTGGACTATGCCGGCGCCTGTGGGAGAGGCTGTGTCTCCTAGTGCAGGTCTGGGAAGTGATCCTCCCATGATGAATTGGGAGAGGATTATAGATAGATTGAAAACTGCCTTTCCACAACAGAGCAGGTACCTTCATTTATATTTACTAGTGAGTACAGATCATACTCTACAGTCTGTAGTCATAATTACAGCAATGAAGTATTTCAGAGAAACATATCACATACACATACACACATTACAGATATTTCCTTACCAGGGCCTTGGTAAGGAAAATGAAATGTATCAGGAAGGAATTGTGTTCGATATAAATGCTAAACCTCTTCACTGAAGTTATTAGTGGTAAGTCATGAGAGAATGCATTTTTAAATTTAGCTTTGCTCATTTACTGAAAGTGCAACTAGTTGTAAACTTATCCAATTTTAATGCCACCGGCTTCAATAATTATCTTAATAACCTATTTCCAATGTGAATTTTAAGTTGATAGTATGCCACATAAACCCAAAATTGTTCAGATTTTGCTTTCCTATTTTCTTAATTTCATTGAGGGTCCTTACAGTTTCTTTATTAGGCAACAGAGTTAAATGCAAGAAATCATAACTTTACTGTTCTTTTCACAATTCTGACTTTAGTAGAAAGATAATTAATTCCACCCCTCGAGAAATGAAGTTTCTTTTCTCTTTACTGTCATATCCAAGGAAATAATTCTAGTTTCACCAGTATTTTTACTTTTATTTAATGTATATACTGTTATGCTTCAGGGTAGATTATGTTTTTATAAATACTATCATGAATAGATAATGGAATTGTAATATAATTGTTATTATTGTACCAAAAATGTATGTGCAGACTTTGGGTCAGTAGACCATAAGAATTGAAAAAGAACTTATCAATTAAAGTATTCCTAGGGTTTTAAAAAAATTATTGTTTTAATCTTTGCTTTCCTGTTCCATTTAATATTTAGTTACTGTGTCTGAGTTTTACAAAAGTGAAACTGTTCAGAGTGATAAAGGAGAGAAAGACCAATGGTTACATAGTTCAAAAAAGGAATATTTAGTCCCAGCAAGAGAGCTTTGAGAGATGTGATATAAAGAGTTCAATACCTAAATAAGTAGATAACAAATTTCACACAGTGACCTTTCAAAAACAGTTAAAATATATTTTTAGTGTCTTAACACATTTAGTATCTTAATAAAACATTAGGGCTTTTCATTATGGTTTAAGATAAATGTAGATGGACTTGTGATCACTTTTTAGATCAAAGATCATACACTAGGATTTTATATTTTGTTTGGGGAGCACATCCTCAGCGCAGTAAGGAAAATCACCATTGCTCTTTCCTTTATTCCAGAAAGGAGCTTACAGATTTCTTACGAAAAGTGAAAGATGCTCATGGGAACTCCTCACCCGGTCTGACATTTGATGACATTGTTTACAAGATTTCTCAATTTATTGACCCCAAGAGATCTCAGGTAAAAAAAAAAAAAAAAATATGTATATATATATTAATACCCCATATCTCTCTGCCCTTTACTATAGTAGTTAGCTGGTTTTTTAAATATATGTAAATTTATATTGTTATTGAGGCATAATTGGAACTTTACTAATTGCATATATTTAAAGTGTACAGTGTGATAAATTTTGACATATTACCATAAAATCATCTCCTTAATCAAGATAATGAGTATACCTATCACCCACAATAATTTCCTCATGCCCCTTTATAGTGCATCTCTGCTGCCCCTCCCAGTGTTTATTAGAAAAAGCACATTTCTATGTAATAAGTCTCTTTGAATATCATTGAGGTCTTTTTTTGGGAGGTACTTTACTGTCATGTAGTTTAAGGTAACTTTAGTATGTGGTTAAAAACATGAAGGTTGGGAGTCTTGAATTCAAAGTTGTTTTTTACTTCTGCTCTACATCTTAAACTAAAGGCTTTTTATTTTTGTTGTTTTAAAAGAATAGGTGACTTAACAATATTATATTAGTTATAGGTGTACATTTAAATACCTTACAAAATGATCACCATGTTATTGATTATATTTTATATGCTGTATATTATATCACCATAACTTAAATGTAACTGGAAATTTATATCTCTAATCCCCTTCACCTATTTGCTCATTTCCCCCACTTTCTCCAGCAACCATCAGTTTGTTCTTTTGTATCTATGAATCTGTTTTGTTTTGTTTGTTTGTTTATATTACGTTTTAGATACCATATATAAGTGAAATATTTGTCTTTATCTGTCAGACTTATTTCACTTAGAAAAACATCCATGTTGTCTCAAATGGCAAGATTTCATTCTTTTTTATGACTAATATCCCATTATATGTGTATGTATGTGTGTATGTATATACACCACATCTTTATCCATTTATCATTCAGTGGACATTTAGCTTGCTACTGTATCTTGGCTATTGTAAATAATTTTGCAGTGAACATAGGGGTGCATATATTTTTTCAAATTAGTGTTTTTGTTTTCTTCCAATATTACCCAGAAGTAGAATTTCTGGATCAGAGATCAGATGGTAATTCTATTTTTAATTCTTTAGAGAACCTCCATATTGTTTTCTATAGTGGTTGCAGCAGTTAACATTTCCACGAACAGTTCACAAGGGTTCCCTTTTCTCTGCATCCCTGCCAACAATTGTTATTGGTTGTCTTTTTTATAAGCCATTTTGACAGGCGTGAAGTGATAGCTCATTGTGGTTTTGATTATATTTACCTGATGATTAGTGATATTGAGAATCTTTCCATGTCTATTGGCCTTTTGTATGTCTTTTTTGGAAAAAATGTCTATTTAGGTCCCCTGCCTATTTTGTTGTTGTTGCTGTTATTGCTGCTGTTATTGTTACCCAAGGATATTTTTATTTTTGGAAAAAATATCTATTTAGGTCCCCTGCCTATTTTGTTGTTGTTGTTATTGCTGCTGTTATTGTTACCCAAGGATATTTTTAAGAGCGAGTGGAAGGGAGAGAGCGTAGGAGGAGGGATGGTGGGGGCGGGAGAGAGAAAGATAGTGATAGAGAGAGAGAGAAAAACATCGATGTGAGACACATCAGTTGGTTGCCTCCTGGACACACCCCACCACAACTGGGGTCAGGGATCAAACGCACAATACAGGCACATACACTTGGTCAGGAATTGAACCTATGACACTTTGGTCCATGGGCTGACACTTTAACATTTAGCCACACTGGCTAGAGCACCCTCTCCCTATTTTTAATTGAATTGTTTTTTTGATAGTGTATTATATGGGTTCTTTATATACTTTGGATATTAACCCCTTGTGAAATACACTCTTTGCAAATATCCTCTGCCATTCAGTAGGTTGTCTTTTTGTTTTGTTGATGGTTCCGTTCACTGTGCTGCAAAAGTTTTTAGTTTGATGTAATCTCATTTGTTTATTCTTTTGTTGCCCTTACCTGAAGAGACAGATCCATAAAAATATTCCTAAGAGCGTTATCAAAGGTTTACTACCTGTGTTTTTTCTTTAGGAGTTTTATGGCTTCAGTTCTTACATGCTAGCCTTTAATCTATTTTGAGTTTATTTTTGTATATGGTGTGAGAAAGTGGTCCTGTCATTTTTTTGCATGTATCTATCCATTTTTTCCAACACCATTCATTGAAAAGACTGTGTTTTTCCCATTGTATATTCTTGCCTTTTTTGTCATATAAGCATGAGTTTATTACTGGGTGCTCTCTTCCCTTCCATTGATCTGTGTTCCTATTTTTGCCAGTACCATACAGTTTTGATTACTGTAGCTTTATAATATAGTTTGAAATCAGGGTGTGTGATACTTTCAGTTTTGTTGTTCTTTCTCAAGATTGCTTTGACTATTTGGGGTCTTTTGCTGCTCTGTACAAATTTTTGGATTATTTGTTCTAGAATTCTGTGATTTGTTTTTGTTCTATGAAAAATCCCATTGGTACTTTGATAGGGATTACATTGACTCTGCAGATTGCTTTGGGAAGTATGGACATTGTAATAATATTAAATCTTCCAATTCATGAACATTATATATCTTTCCATTTATTTGTGTCATCTTCAATTTCTTTTATCAGTGTCTTACTGTTTTCAGAGTATATAGTTGTTTCAGTCCTTGGTTAAATTTATTTCTAGGTGTTTTATTCTTTTTGGTGGAATTGTTTTTATAATTTCTTCTTTTGATAGTTTGTTTTTAGTATATAGGAATGCAACAGATTTCTGTATATTAATTTTGTGTCCTGCAAAGTTACTGAATTTATTAGTTCTAATACAGTGGTTCTCAACCTTCCTAATGCCACGATCCTTTAATACAGTTCCTCATGTTGTGGTGACCCCCAACCATAAAATTATTTTCGTTGCTACTTCATAACTGTAATTTTGGTAGTTATGAATCATAATGTAAATATCTGATATGCAGGATGTATTTAGGCAACCCCTGTGAAAGGGTCGTTCGACCCCCAAAGGGGTCGCGACCCACAGATTGAGAACCGCTGTTCTAATAGTTTGTGGTGAAACATTTTCTAAATATAATATATCATCTATAAACAATGAATTTTAATTTTTCTTTCCAAATTGGATGCCTTTCATATATTTTTCTTTTCTGATTGCTGTGGTTAGGAATTCCAGTTCTGTGTTGAATAAAAGTGGGAAGATGGGACATACTTTTCCTGTTCCTTATTTTAGAGGAAAAACTTTCATATTTTCACTGTTGAGTATGATGTTAGCTATATGTTTATCAAGTATGGCCTTTATTATGTTGAGGCATATTCACTCTATACACACTTTAAGAGTGTTTATCATAAATGAATGTTTAATTTCATCAAAGGCTTTTTCTACATCTCTTGAGTTGATCATGGGATATTTAGTTATCATTTTGTTAATGTGGTGTATCACATTAATGGATTTGTGGATATGGAGCCATCCTTGCATCCCTGGAATATCCTCATGGTGTATGATCCTTTTAATGTATTGTTGAATGAGGTTTAATAATATTTTATTGCGGATTTTTGCAACTGTGTTCATCAAGGATATCGGCCTATGGATTTTTTTGTTAGTGTCATTGTCTTGTTAATACTAGCCTCGAACAATGAGTTTGGAAGTGTTTCTTTCTCTTTCACTTTTTGGAATACTTTGAGAAGGATAGCTATTAACTTTTCTTTACATATTTGTTAGAATTCACCTGTGAAGTTGTTTGATCCTGGACTTGTGTTTGTTGGGAGTTTTTTTCATTATTTATTCACTAGAGGCCCGGTGCACAAAATTAGTGCACTGGGAGGGGGGAACCCCTCAGCCCAGCCTGAGCCCTCTCACAGTCCAGGACCCCTCAGGGGATGTCCAACTGCTGGCTTAGGCCCGCTCCCCAACTGTCCGCTTAGGCCCACAGGGAGCAGGCCTAGGACAGCAGGCGGACATCCGTCTTGTAGTGCAGGACCCCTTGCTCCTTACCGCCTGCCTGCTCGCTGCTCCTTACCTCTCAGCTCGCTGCTCCTTACCTCTCGGCTTGCTGCTCCTTAGTGCTGCCGCGGAGGCGGGAGAGGTTCCTGTCACTGCCTCTGCGCTTGCCAGCTGTGAGCCTGCTTTTTGGCTGAGCAGCGCTCCTCCTGTGGGAGGATACTGATCACCAGGGGCAGCTCCTGCGTTGAGCATCTGCCCCTTAGTGGTCAGTGTGCATCATAGCAACCGGTCGTTCTAGTTGTTCTGCTGTAAGGGTCGCTTAGGCTGGTCAGTGTGCATAGCAACCAGTCGTTCTAGTTGTTCTGCTGTAAGGGTCGCTTAGGCTTTTATTATATAGACTAGTAGCCCGGTGCATGATGATTGTGCACTCGAGGGGGGGGTCCCTCAGTTATTAAACATTTTACAGCACAACACTGACCACATTGGTGGAGGTGGTGGTCTTGTCAGAATGTGTTATATTATGCAGATGAAAATCTATTTAAACAGATTTGATGTAGATATTTTCAAAGATGGAAGAATTGTCCCTGTCAACTATTTTAGTTGATTCATATCTTCAGTAATTGTCATCATTGCAAAGTTTTCAGTCCCCATATGGATTGCTGGATATAATAGGTCATGCG